GAGCAATCTCAATGTCCGCCTTCTGTTTCCTGTCCTTTGGCCTTCACATTGGCCAACAGAAGCCTCATCGCGCTCAGTCCTTTCTGGTTCCGTCTCCGCCTCGTCAGGGTCCACTTCTCAGACCATCTATCGTCCTCGAGCAGAGTTGGAATGGCGGACGGGAACTACCCCCCTACCGGGAAATGGAGCACTGGCTGGTGCGGCTGCTTCGATGACTGTAATTCGTGTAAGTTGACCTGTCACGCTCTTCTCTGTCTAGGATATGGATATGCGTTCGTTGTAATGTAGGAGTACGGTTTCATAAGGCAACATTGTCGACTCAGGAGTTCCAGAAACGACCTTCAAACATATCCACACAGAACTCGCCCGGCAAGCATTTATATTATCGCTGAAACTCTGGCTACCTTGTCTTTTCCTGTGCAGGCTGTTGCGTTTTCTGGTGTCCGTGTGTCGCCATCGGCCGAATTGCTGAGATTGCGGATAACGGAGAAGCTGGTAAGCCCTCATTTTCCGTTAATATCGGGTGTCTATCAGCTTACAACGGCGCAATGGTTTCACGTCACCCTAAACACTGGAGCTTTGTTTTCCGCTGCTGATAAAAGCCAATTGTGCTGCCGTTACCATTGTCCGTACTTGCCGCCTATATCCCTGAAGTGCGAGGTGAACGACTACTTTTGTTCGTCGCCTTGTTGCAGATTCCACCCAGACGTGCCTCTTTTGGTACTTAATTGAAGTGTTTTCCCGGTGCGGGTGTCTGTACTCCATGGGTAAGTCGAATCCCGCATTTCGAGCAAGCGTTTCTTTGATAATCTCTTGCTTTGCAAAATTAGGTAATAGGAGAAATGATAAGCAGCGTCTCCGTGTCTGACCCGGCTTCACAAATATATATTTTAATAGCGTTACTGTCTTTTTACCCTTTTCCTTTCTATCCCGGCCCCTCTTCCCGCCGTCCCATGTTCATCTCCGCCTCTGTTTTCCCTTTTCTTTTTCAGGGTATCGAAAGAAGCTGCGGATGAAGTATGGCCTTCCTGCTGATCCCTGTGGCGACATCTGGATGCACTGGTGCTGTACCCTCTGTGCTGTAAGCCAGGAGTATCGCGAACTGCAGAACCGCGGCTGGGACCCATCTATTGGTGAGTCTTGTGCAATAGTAAGTTTCTCACACGATACCAGCACATTGTCAGTAGTGTGCTGTCACGTGGGGGTGGACTTGCAGTGTGGGCTGTGTGCTGTCGCTTCGGAGTGGTGCGCGTAGTAATGAGTTCTCATCGCCTTTGGATATTCATTTCACTTCACGGTGAGTATAACAATGGAGCGCATGAATGCTTAGATTTCAATAATGTCAATTCTTTGCTGCCCTCTTTGGTCATTATGAATTTCGAATGCAGGTTTCTCGGCAAACAAGAGCAGATCCCCCCCTCCGCAGCAGTTCATGCAGAGTTAACAGAAATGGCAAATTCCAAGATTTCAAGCAACTGGAGTTTCTGGATTAGGCATTAGTAGGAACGTAAAGGTATCTACATCTCTGGACAGTAGCGGTAATATTGTAATGTAACACTCTAGTCCAGGTTGGTTGGGAATAAGTTGAGTGAGTGCAAAGCCTAGAATTGCGCGAGTGCAAAGCCTATAATTTCTCCTCCACGGATCAGTAAATATAGGGATCTTCTCATCCTTACTGCAGCACTCGTTAACGAGTCCGTCCCAAGGGTCACGCGAACCTCACGTTTGGCCTACATTTCCGCACCAAAACCTCGCCGAGTTGTATCCGCTCCAATCGCAGTACTTCCCGAGCCATCCTAGCCCGACCTCCCCGCCTAGCTAAGTTTTCCCCTATTTAGGTCTCGCTACTGTGATTGTATCGTCATTCTGAAATCCTCGTTCTCGTTATTCGTTATTATGCGCACTCTGCAAGTTCATTTATAACAGTAAACGTCAAGTAAACTATGTGGAAGTTGCGGATCTGTGGAGTGTTTGAATACATGCTATAGGCTGAAGCAAAGTTGAGTCCTTTTCGTGTAGTGAGATGTTTCTTACGCTGTCATATTCGGTACTGTGCAACGTCGCGGGATTTCCTCGTTATTGACAGATACGGAGAGGGAGGGGGGAGGGGGCACAACTGTACTAACACAATTATTGTTGTAGCTGGCAGCCAAGCCGTAATTATATTATGAAGCCGAACGAGCCGCGACACCCTGAGGCTAAGCTTCAGTTTCCCAGGCCTCACGGGCCGATACTCTTCTCAGATTCCCTTCACGCCAGTGACACACGTAGGGCATTCTCCGAACTTGCAGTCTACGGCAAAGCTGGGCCGCCTTCCATACCAGACCAGCCAACAGCGATGGCACAAACCAGCTTCCAAACCGAATGTCACGCATCATCAAACCACACGACACGCGTACCTTCATGACACGGCGCGCCGCGGCTTGTCCAAATCATCGACCAAACCCATTCCACCATTATTTATATCTCCAAGTTCAACCATGAACTCAACTCAACCATCCGACTTGCTACAATTGATTCACTCGCTGGACACTAGCATATTGCTTTCCCTTCCGTTTTCATTGCACTCACCTCCTCGTTCTCGCTCAGATATCTGTTATTGATCGCGCATATACTCCCTCGGTCGATTTCCAAGCCGCAAACCAACTTGTCGCATGGCGTACCCAACAGCATCATACCCCGCACCGGCACCACCCATGGCTGCACCTGTGCAATTCTCGCCAGCCCCAACCGGCACGTGGACGACGGGATGCTGCGGCTGCTTCGACGACTGCGAGTCCTGTAAGATATTCCCTAAGGTCGGAGGGTTTTAAGGAGGGGCTTTGGAGAAATCTTGAAGCGTGCTTCAGACGTTCTCCTCTTGCCGATTCCCTGCCCCGCGGGCCGCGGATAATCTCGACGTTGCTCGCTTGCTGTTCTTATTGGAGTCGAATCCGCCAGAATTCACGGTGTTGACAAAATAGCCAACGCTTTTCGTGCCTTCATTTTTTCCCTGCAGGCTGCTGCGCTTACTTTTGCCCATGCGTGGTCTTCGGCCGAGTCGCCGAGATTGCGACGGATGGTAACGTCGGTAAGTAGGCTTGATGCGAACGAGAGCGTGCGTATGTATGCTCCTACTCTGACATGCGATGATGTCACGCCTTATTTCCTAGCTCCTGGCTATATAAACTTTCGGAAAGACCAACTTCCAGCTTGAGGTTGAATTTGAAGTCTGGTGCGGCATCACTGAGCGATTCCTTCTCACCTGTATATCAGAATGTTGTGCGCCTCTTTCCTTGTAATGCAGCGATGGAGGAGGCTTGCGCCTTGTGGTACCTCATCGAGTGTTGCCTCCTTGCTGGATGCGTGTATTCGTTCGGTGAGTGCTCCTTGCAACAATCTGGTGCTAAATGCGTTGTGGCAAATGGAAAGCAGGTGACGGCGCCGGTGATAGTTCACAAGTTGGGATTTTTCTAGGTATTTCGTGTGCCTCTCATTTCACGCTACCACCTCCTCTCGTCATTTCGTCATCTCCTATTTTTAAATCCACGTCCGTGCATTCGTCCATCTATCCATCCACCTGTTGGCCCTCCGTCCCTTTGATCCAGGGTTCCGAACCAAGCTGAGGGCCAAGTACAACCTTCCCGGCGATTCAATTAACGATTTTTTCTTGCACTGGTGCTGCCAGACCTGCGCCTTCTCCCAAGAATACCGCGAGTTGAAGAATCGCGGATGGATTCCTGCGGATGGTGAGTTCATAACCGTCTTCGTTGTTTTTTTTTTTTCTGCCTTTGCGTCCTCTGTTCGTGGTTCAAAACCTTCTTAATTTCTTGATTTCTTCTTGCACCAACAGGTTACCGAGCTAACATCATGAGGTTTCAAGCAGGAAATGTACCGCCTCAGGGCCAGTTTATGAAGAAGTAGAGTTCCAATTTCGTTTTGATCGAAGGCATTTCCCCATTTTCGGTTTGCTGCAAACCGCCATGTAGCAACTTTCAATAAGGTGTTTGTGTAGAATGATATGCATTTTCACTATATTTCATCAGTAGCCTTCGGAAGGAAACTGCCATGTTTCACAACCCACCACTAGCAAATGCGTATTTTCATATCAGCGGTGTTCCTTATGCAGCGTATGTTCTGGTGCGTGAATTCCTTGGTTCCGTTGCGTATAGGGTATCGCTGGCCTTGAGCCACACGGCGAAATAACCTGCACGGCTCGGAGAGCCTCATGGAGCATCACCGAGCCACAACCTATGACCGAACCTCACTGGCTGCTTGTATGCGCACTGTACTGTGCCGCAACTCCGAACCAGAACCACAAAGGCGTGAACAGCCACATCGCAAGACCGAACCAAAAGGGCAAAGCCAAAACAGCCACCAATGGCCGATTCGCTGGCACACCCCACCAACATACCGCCCAGGTCCAAACCACACCAGACCAAAGCAGCACCAGCACATTCCCTCACTTCCCCCCGCGCACCCACACTCCAATTGAAACATAATCCCCTTATCGCTGTTCTCAGTGCCATTCTGGCCCGTTAATCACCTCACCTCCGCGCCGCCTTTTCCCCTTTCAGTTTTAACTATTCCGTACACCTTCCCACGCCACGCTCGCTCCTCGTTTGTCACCCTGAAGTTCCCTGCCTAGTTTTCCCAGCATCCCGTGACCCTTCCCGTTTCCGTCAATTGGGAAGTCCCCCGTTCGACTCTATCTCCTGCCTGGTGGTGGCAAACGATGGCCGACGCGGTCGGATATCCCGTGCCTGGCCCAGCACCCGCACAGGCACCGGCACCAACCGCGCCTCCGCCTGTGCAATTTAATGCGGTGCCGATGGGCTCGTGGACGACGGGGTGGTGCGGCTGCTTTGAGGACATTAGCGTTTGTAATAAAGCTTATACTCTACCCTTGTTTGTTTGTTTGTTTTGTTTTGTTTTGTTCGTTTTGTTTGTTTGATTACTACGTTAGCGTTTCCAGCCGTTAAAGATTCCATCGCGTGCTGTTTTCTTCATTCCTCCCGCAGGTTGCTGCTCTTTCTGGTGTCCCTGCGTCGCTTTCGGTCGAATCGCCGAAATTGTGACCGACGGTAACGTGGGTAAGTACTTCGCTGACGGTTTTTGTTTTGTTTTGATTGTGATTCATTTTTCGCTTTTGTTCTGCCGCATGCCGCTTTGCCGTTTGCATTTCCGTTTGCCTACCCTTCTCTCACTCTCGCCGTTGTTTCTTTCGATGGTCGCAGATGCGCAGGAGGCGTGTTTGATCTGGTGCTTCGTGGATGCTTGCCTTCTGGCAGCATGCGTGTATTCATTCGGTAAGCTCAGCTCACACGAAGTGTTCTGAGACGTCTCAAAACACTACTTCTTCCTGGCCGCGCTTGCCTTCTGGCAGCATGCGTGTATTCATTCGGTAAGCTCAGCTCACACGAAGTGTTCTGAGACGTCTCAAAACACTACTTCTTCCTGGCCGCGCTTGCCTTCTGGCAGCATGCGTGTATTCACTCGGTAAGCTCAGCTCACACGAAGTGTTCTGAGACGTCTCAAAACACTACTTCTTCCTGGCCGCGCTTGCCTTCTGGCAGCATGCGTGTATTCATTCGGTAAGCTCAGCTCACACGAAGTGTTCTGAGACGTCTCAAAACACTACTTCTTCCTGGCCGCGCTTGCCTTCTGGCAGCATGCGTGTATTCATTCGGTAAGCTCAGCTCACACGAAGTGTTCTGAGACGTCTCAAAACACTACTTCTTCCTGGCCGCGCTTGCCTTCTGGCAGCATGCGTGTATTCATCGGTAAGTTCAGCTCTCCCAAGGGGCGATCCTAGTTTTGAGACGTCTCAAAAGTAAGTTCAGCTCACCCAGGGGGCGATCCTATTTCAGCTCTGCCCTCTCATCCGTGTGCCTCCGGACCCCTGTCCTTACTTCGGTCCGTTCGTCTGTTCGTCCGTTCGCCTAATCGTCGGCTTATTTGTTCTTCTGATCGCCTGCCCTCCATTTCTCCTTCTGCCCAGGTTTCCGAATGAAGCTGAGGGCCAAGTACAACCTGCCCGGCGATACGTTCATCATTCCAATCGTGTAATCTTCTGCCTATTCGTTCTTCCAATCGCCTGTCTCTATTTCAGGTTTCCGAACGAAGCTGAGGGCCAAGTACAACTTGCCCGGCGATACGGTCAAAGATTTCTTCCTGGACTGGTGCTGTGGATTCTGCTCCTTCTCGCAGCAGTACCGCGAGCTCCAGAATCGCGGATGGGCTGTCGCAGACGGTGAGTTTGTAACAAATGTACACTTATACGGCTGTAACGTGGCTGGCCCATGCGGTATCGTTAATTACGTTGGCTATGGTGGCGAGGCTGTTCGTAAAATTGAGGAAACCTTCTAAAGGAGTGTTCAGAGCGGGGGAAGTGACAGCTGTCTCTGATAAGATCATACGGTAGCTTCGCAGTGTCTTCCAGCCCAGTGCTCCTTTTCTGTTTTGCATGACTTGTTTGTGGGTTGGCTAGGTTCTGTTTTGCTGGCTAGGTTTGAAGGCATGCTAACAGTTAATTGTTTCCTCTGGTCTTTCATTGATGATAAACAGGTTACAAGGCTAACATTCAGCGGTTTCAAGCCGGTAACAACACCGCACCTGAGGGCCAGTTCATGTCAAAGTAGGAAGCAATTATTGTCACTTGGTGGTCATTGGTACATGCTTTTAATGGGGGTTATGGGGAATAAAGATGCGGGTGGCTGGTTCATTATCAGAGCTTCTGCTCAAGCAGAGTGAGTCTAGTCTTCTGCTACGGTACTTGAGCAGGCATGCTACAATCGTTTGGAGTGAAGATTGAAATGAATGCTCTGGTCTAGGTCCCTGCCTAATTGGTGTAGTCATTATTGATCTACATGCCCTAGAGTGTCAAATGCTTCTATGAAATTAATAATTCTTGTACATCATATTGTAGCTATCTAGGGAGGTTACACAGGTGATTCTCCTATCCGGGTGACTGGCAGGGGAGTTCACCATGGGGGCATCGTATAGAAGAGGGCGCCTGGTCATATACAGGCAATAGTGCGTTACAGACAAGACAGGTAGTGCTAAATACAAGTGCAGTGATACAATATTGCAATTTGCATTGGACCATTGTGTACCGAAACTGTTCCATGAAGGGGTGTGATGGACCAATTCTTTTTAAACAAGTAGGGCCGGGTACCATGATGACATTGTGTACTCTAATTTGTAAATCATTCTATAGCTGTTGCACAGTTGAAAGTCTGCTATTGCAATTTTCCTTTTTCAATTGTAGATCTTCACAGGCTTCTCATAGGCATGCCGGTTCTGCAGGGCAGGAATAGAAAAGGACCACGTGAGTCGCAAGATAAAGTTGTAACAAGGTTGTAACACAGAGTCGTCGTAACACAAAGTTGTAACAGAGTTGTAACACAAAGTTGTAACACACACCTGGTTGTGCTGAACCCTCTTGGGGGGGTTGGTGTCTGGATGTTCCAAGCCCAGATAGTATTCCCACGTGTCGCGCTTCTATTGGTGGCACAGGCGGGGCAGCGTAACAGCGGGAATCCAGGGAGAAAGCATGGGTTAGTGACGTGATATTGGATGGTGTGTGGGTGGATGGGTGGATGGGAGGGAGGGTGGGTGGGTGTGGATGGATGGCCGGATGGACGGTTGGAAAAGTGGATGGATTCCCACGAGCTCTTTAGAACCTGAATCCCAATCAGCCAGCTTTTGAGTCGACTCAAAAGCAGACTCATTACACGCGGTTCGTGTAAGTGGATGGATTCCCACGAGCTCACATTCGTGCAAGTGGATGGATTCCCACGAGCTCACATTCGTGTAAGTGGATGGATTCCCACGAGCTCACATTCGTGCAAGTGGATGGATTCCCACGAGCTCACATTCGTGTAAGTGGATGGATTCCCACGAGATCTTCAGAACCTGAATCCCAATCAGCCAGCTTTGAGTCAACTTAAGTCAGCAGCAACCACATTGGAGTCCTGAAGGCACTCGGGCGTGGCCGAGCGCCACAAAGGCGCAGCTCCACTTGCCAAACTCCTGTTCTGCCATGCCCAGCCTGGCTTCCAGACACAACCGTCCCCCAACCCCTTCAACCCACCCTTTCAGTGCTGTGCAACCACTCTCACCTGGAAGCGAGCAGCAACCACATCGGAATCCTGAAGGCACTCGGGCGTGCCGAAAGCTCCACAAAGGCGAAACGCCACAAAGGCGAAACTCCACAAAGGCGAAACTCCACAAAGGCGAAACTCCACAAAGGCGAAACTCCACAAAGGCGAAACTCCACAAAGGCGAAACTCCACAAAGGCGAAACTCCACAAAGGCGAAACTCCACAAAGGCGAAACTCCACTTGCCAAACTCCTGTTCTGCCACGCCCAGCCTCAATGGCTTACACACCCCCAAACCCCCCTTGATACATATTCTCACTCACCTGGAAGCGAGCAGCAACAACATCAGAGTCCTGCAGGTATTCCGGAGTGCCGAGGGCCACAAAGGCAAAGTTCCACTTGTTAAACTCCTCACTTACATACCACGAACCCCCATTGATACAACCAGTCTCACTCACCTGGAAGCGAGCAGCCACGACATCAGAATCCTGCAGGTATTCCGGCGTGCCGAGGGCCACAAAGGCAAATTTCCACTTGTTAAACTCCTCGTCCGCTGTACCCAGCCGCGCCTTGATCCGCTGCTTCACCTCCGCGAGCGTCTCTGCCTCCCCCACCACCAGGAAGAAGGGATCTCCAAACGTCTGCAGCTGATGGGTGGGGGCAGTGGCAGGCAGGAGGGTGGGGGGGTGGAGAGGAAGAGGGAGTGGATGGGTGGTGAGAGAGTGGATGGGTGGTGGATAGGTGCAAAGACGCTGCTTCACTTCACCTCTGCGAGGGAATCCGCCTCCCCCACCACCAGGAAGAACGGATCCCCAAACGTCTGCAGCTGGTGGGTGGGTGGGGTGGGTGGGTGCAGTGGCAGGCAAGGCAGTGGGTGGGGGACAGGGAAGGTTCAAGGCACTAAGGCGCTGCTTCACCTCCGCGAGGGTATCCGCCTCCCCCACCACCAGGAAGAACGGATCCCCAAACGTCTGCAGCTGGTGGGTGGGTGGGGTGGGTGGGTGCAGTGGCAGGCAAGGCAGTGGGTGGGGGACAGGGAAGGTTCAAGGCACTAAGGCGCTGCTTCACCTCTGCGAGGGTATCCGCCTCCCCCACCACCAGGAAGAACGGATCCCCAAACGTCTGCAGCTGGTGGGTGGGTGGGGTGGGTGGGTGCAGTGGCAGGCAAGGCAGTGGGTGGGGGACAGGGAAGGTTCAAGGCACTAAGGCGCTGCTTCACCTCCGCGAGGGTATCCGCCTCCCCCACCACCAGGAAGAACGGATCCCCAAACGTCTGCAGCTGGTGGTATGTGCAGCAGTAGGCAGGGGGGCGGGGGAAGGCTAACACAGTAAAATTTAGGTTCACAGGTGTTGCTTCACCTCTGCGAAAGTCTCTGCCTCCCCCACCACCAGGAAGAATGGATCTCCAAACGTCTGCAGCTGGTGGGTGGTGGGGTGGCAGGCAGGACAGTGGGCCGGGGACAGGTGGGCACAAAGACAAAGCTTCACCGCCGCGAGGGTCTCCGCTTGCCCCACCACCAAGAAGAACGGATCTCCAAACGTCTGCAGCTGGTGGGTGGGTGCCGTGGCAGGCAGGCAGGCAGAGAGAAGGAGCAGGTGGTGTGGCAGGCAGAGGGAAGGAGCAGGTGGTGTGGCAGGCAGAGAAGGTTTTTGTCGCAAAGGCGAAGCTTCACGTCCTCAAGACCAAGCTTTGAGTCAACTCAAAAGCCACATGTGGCACTAACATGAGATACGACAGAAACACTTGGGTTGAAGAGCATGAGGCCAATGAGTATGAACAATGAGGAACTTTCTCTCGTGGATTCGATCAGATTCGATCAGATTAGATCAGATTCGATCAGATTAGATCAGATTCGATCAGATTCAAGACAACTGGAGACACCCACCATCTGGTTCTTTCCTCCTCCCGCATCTCGGG